TCTCGGTTGGTATGGAAAAAGACTTGAAGAGGAAATGCATTTAAAATTTGCTTCTAGCCGAAACCGGTTTGGCTCAGTGGATAGAGCGTCAGCCTGCAGACTAAAAGGTCTTGGGTTCGATTCCGGTCAAGAGCATGTACCTTGGTTGCGGGCACATCCCCAGTAGGGGGTGTGCAAGAGGCAGCTGATCGATGATTCTCTCTCATCGATGTTTCTAACTCTCTATCCCTCTCTCTTCCTCTCTGTAAAAAATCAATTATTTATATATATATATATATATATATATATATATATATATATATATATATTGCATAATGCTCTGATAAGCTTGCAACTTCACCAGTGCATTGTAAGCCATGTAAATATGGAGTAATAAGAATGTACTAAATAAAATAAAATTTGCTTCTAGGCCCATGACAGCTGCTCAGCGAGAGCCTGCCATCATGCCTCCAGCCGGGTCCCACAGAAAGATGTTTCTGTACACCTGAACCTATATAGTTTTATTAACCAGTCACCCCAACGAATTAAAAAAAAAAAAAAAAGAATGTTGTTTTCAGTGTTCATCCACTTTGTAGCATGTGTTAAGTAGGATGTGCAGGCGGGAGAAGCCCTCCCAGTCCTCCGGGCGCCAGAGCACGCCGCCAGGAGGAGCGAGGAGGCCGGGCTGCGTCCCTTGGAGAGTTCTGGGCTGCGGCTCCCCAGTGGATCCTGCAGCACCAGCAGAGCAGCTATTGCGCTCCCGGCCCTGACATCTCACAGCCAGGTCGAGGTCACGTGCGCCCTAACGGGGGCAGCCTGGACCCAGAAGCAGCCTGGCTTGGCCCTATGTGTGCACTGAGACGCGCCTGCGCAGTGGTCACAAAGGGGGCCGGGCCGATGCTGCCTCCTCAAGGTGGATGCTTAGAGGTGCGCTGATGCTGCCCAGGAGCAGCTGGCAGCCAAGACGCACTGACCAGCGCTTCTCGCACCCGCGTGGGCCCACACCCTGGTCCCCTCTGGTCCCTCGCCACCTGCAGGACTGGGCTTGGAGATCCAGTAACTTGAAGAGGTCCATGTCCCTGTGAACCCACCAAGTCCTACAAGGGTCTGGGGGAGGAGAAGGGCTCCTCCAAGCTGCGGAGGGCTGAGAGCAGGTCTGTGAAATCAGGGTAAGGGGCAAACTCCAGGCGTCTGGAACCTGAGGCAAGACCATGACCTCGGCTGGATGTGGACATGGATCTGGAGCTGGAGCTGGAGCGTTTGCAGCAGCAAGAGCAGGCGCAGCGGGGACCATGCCCTGGACGCCCTGCGCAGGGTGCCCCCAGGCCTGGCTGTGGCCGGAAGCGCTGAGATCTGCTGGGAAGACGTGGCGGGGGCTGTGCGGAAGGAGGCTGCAGAAACCTGGGTCCCCGTGGTGCAGGGGTGCTGCGGGGAGCACGGGGCTGGCAAGCAGCACAGGGTCCGCCTGGAACGCTGGGTCCGCAGGCGCTGGCGGGGGCTCAGGTGCAGGCGCAGTTGAAGGCTGAGGGGCGCAGACTCCAGGTTCCTTGGCTCCCTCGCCTTGCTGCTGACGCAATCCCTGAAGCGCCTGGCATGGTGCGCAGCGGCCCAGACTCGGCACCCTCGGCGTCCACATCTCGGAAAAGAGCCCGGGACAGCGCCTGTGTTCTTTTTGCGGGGCCCACAGCCAGGCATGGGGGTGCCCCTGGAGAGAAGCAGAGATACACGTGCCATGTTTAGCATGAGGGGCTGCCTGAGCCCCTGACCCTGAGATGGGTGAGGAGGGCTGTGGGCACAGAGCCTCTTCTCAGGGCAGCGGGAACCTGGGGGACTTCAGTGGGATCTGAGCTGAGGCCTGAGGCCAAGGCACTCACCCTCCCTTCCCTTCTCCTCCCAGAGCCGCCTTCTTACACCTCCTTCATCATCCTGGGCATCGCTGAGGGCCTGGTCCTGCTGGGAGCTGTGGCGGGAGCTGTGATGTGGGGGAGGAAGCGATCAGGTGAGCAGGGGTGTGTCTGAGTGTGCACTCTAAGCAGTGCTAGCGCCCAGGGCTCTGATGTGTCTCTCTGGGCTTCTAAAGGGGAGACCTGCCGTGGGGAGGGGTGGGCAGAGTGGGGACTGGGCGGTGGGGAGTCTGTGGGACACTGTGAGCAGGAAGTGGGCTTTGAGAATGTCACCAGTCACAGCCACTGCCCTGAACCTGCTCATGATGATTGTCCTCCACAGCGTGAGGCCGCTGCCTTGTGGGGACTGAGTGATGGAAGGGGTGCTCCTGCTACCACTTCCTGACTCAGGAACCTCTGATTGGGGGTCTGGCCCTGCCGTGAACTCCACACTTTTTGGTCCAGCAGAGGCGGGAGGGCCCTCACTATCGCTGTCTTTACTTCCTCATGCTCTGAGCTGCAAGCTGTTCCTTCTGCATTGAATTGGATTTCTGGGGTTTCATTTCTTGCTATGAAGGGTTGGTGGGTAAATTAAAGGAGAAGTCCTACAATTTCAGGGAATAAATATAAACACCAAGAACCTTCCAGAGCTCGTGTGTTGGCTGTGCTGAGCTGTCCCAGGTGTGGACAGGGGAGGTATTGAAGACCGAGTGTGGTTGTGCCCAGGGGGTGCTCAGTGCATCGTGGGCTTTGACATGGTCACTCCTCGGCCGGGTCACCTCTCTGCTCCTCTGACCTTGTCCCTCTGGGGAATCCTGTCCCACCAGGACCTGTGGTCACAGGGACTGTGACCTAATCAAGTGTCAAGTGTCCTAATGCAGAGGATCTCCAGGACCCTGGACAGCGAGCCTTCCTGGGGCAGGGCAGCCTGGGCTGAAGCCTGGATGGGGCCTAGAACCCATCCTCTGGGTGTTCTTGTTTCTTTGATTTTGTAGATATTATGGCAGTTACTGTTTTCATGTGTGAGTTCTGGTCTCATTCTCTGGGTGTCCCCGTCTGACAGCAGCAGGAGGCATGTTCCCCGTCAGTGTCCCACAGGCCCAGGTCCCTGCACACAGGACTCTGTGGTTGGAGAGGGGTGTTCAGGCTCCTCCTGCTCTGCCTCCTTCTAGGGCCTGAACGTTCCAACCCTCTGATCAGCTGGGTCTTTCTGGGGACCAGCCCCCACCCTGACGCTCTCCAGGCCCCTCAGCCAAGAGCCATCTCATCAGCACCCCAAACAAGCCTAGGAGGTGCCCGGGGTTTAGGAGCAAAGCTAGGCACTCTCTCTCATCCCACAGGTCTCTTCCCACAGACCCATTAATAGCCAACCTGTCCCAATAGGTCAGGATGCTGGCACCTCACTAGAGTCCACTCATGAACAAGAGTCTAGTCCATCCTCCTGGTGAGGATGGTTACAGAGACCACACATGTATGGAAACTGCCCATCAGCTTTATTTTTTATTTATTTATTTATTTAAATATATATTTCATTGATTTTTTTTTTACAGAGAGGAAGAGAGAGGGATAGAGAGAAACATCGATGAGAGAGAATCATCGATCAGCTGCCTCTTGCACACCTCCTACTGGGGATGTGCCCGCAACCAAGGTACAGGCCCTTGACCGGAATTGAACCTGGGACCTTTCAGTCCGCAGGCTGACGCTCTATCCACTGAGCCAAACCGGTTTTGGCTGCCCATCAGTTTTAGTGTGGCTTTGTGTACACAAGGCCCCAAAGGGAGAGAGGGAAATAGCTGGAGAGATCATCATCTCTCTTTGTCCAATAGTTTGATGGGCACAACATGCCAGGTCAGTCCTTCCCATTGGACATGTTAATGTCCTATCCTCTCAGCCCAGGTCCCACAGACCAGCCAACCAGGAAGCCAGTCCCAGCTCCCAGTACCGAGGCTTCTGCTCCTCCGTGATGTCTGTGTGAGAGCACACACATGCCAGCCGTGTGAACACAGGGAGCACGGAGAGCACATGGGTGCACACTGCCTGGTCCTCTGTTCTGCATGAACGCCCCCCCCCCGCCCGTTCCTGTCCCCCAGGAAGAGGCAGAGGCGCGGGGGGTGGGGTGGGGAGGGAAGCCACCATCCTGGAGCGGCACTAAGCTCTCTCCTGAGGGACCCTGACACCAGGTGGGAGCTGTGGGGTCCAGAGGCCGGAGCTTCCACCCCTTGCCCTAGGTTTCCCCCCTCCCCCAAGGTCCTGTCACTGTCCCGTGTGACAGATGAGGGAACAGGGTTCTGAGAACTCACTGCTGGGGGTCCCGGTGTCCTGAGCCAGCGAGTGGGGCGGTGAGAAGAGGAGCGGGTCTGGAGGGGCAGGAGCCGAGGGTTATGGGGCTTCCTGGGCCTTCCCGTGCTGCCTGCACTGCAGTTTCATCAGCTGCACCCCCTGCTCCTGACCGGAAAGGGCGTCTGGTGACTGGGATCTTTTTAAAAAATATATATATTTTACTGACTTTTTTACAGAGAGGAAAGGAGAGGGACAGATAGTCAGAAACATCGATGAGAGATTATCATTGACCAGCTGCCTCCTGAACACCCCCCACCAGGGATGTGCCTGCACCAGAGTACATGCCCTTGACTGAAATCGAACCTGGGACCCTTGAGTCTGCAGACCGACGCTCTATCCACTGAGCCAAACCGGTTTCGGCGACTCTGGGATTTAACAAACTGGAGTCTCCGTGCTTGCATCTGCCAAGGGCGTCAGGGGTCTCTAGGGCCACGAAGACAGTGCCTCTGATTGCCCTCACTCCCTGAGCCGCCCATGGCCCCTGTGGGCTGGGCTGAGGGACCCCTGCTGTCCACTCCTAGAAGCTTCCAAAGCTCTGAGGGGCCGCCTCCACGTTCTGGGTGAACTGGAGCTCAGAGCCCCTCCAGGGAGACGTGGGCAGAGCGCTCCCCCTGCGGGGGGAGGGCAGCCCAGGCCCAGGCCCAGGCCTGGCACTCAGGTATCAGCCCGGGGACTAGTCTGGAGCAGAGCCACTCAGTGTTGGGCCTCGCCCTCTTTCTGGGGTTCCCCTTTCCATCCCTGCGGAGTCCTCCTGCCCGGATACACATGACGCAGCCTCACTGCCCTCTCCCATTGGGTGTCTGCTTCCGGGCTAGACCATCTCCAGGAGTTCCTGGGACTCAGATTCCCCCAAACTCCCAGGATGCGGGTCCTGAGGCTCCCCACCCTCCTGCTGCTCTCGGGGGCGCTGGTCCTGCCCCCCAGCTGGGCCGGTGAGTGCGGGGTCGGAGGGCCGGCTGTGCGGGAGGAGCGCGGGGACCCGGCGGGGGCGCGGGCCCGGGAAGGCGCGTGTCCAGCCCGGCCCTGCCCTCCGTCCGCCCCCAGGCCCCCACTCCCTGAGATACTTCCTCACCGCCGTGTCCCGGCCCGGCCGCGGGGAGCCCCGCTTCCTCTCCGTCGGCTACGTGGACGACACGCAGTTCGTGGGGTTCGACAGCGACGCGGCGAGTGGGAGGGTGGAGCCGCGGGCGCTGTGGATGCAGCAGCCGTGGGTGGAGCGGGAGGACCCGGAGTATTGGGACCAGTGCACGCGGGTCTGCAAGGAAGAGGAACAGTTTTTCCGAGAAAGACTGCACACCCTGCGCCGCTACTACAACCAGAGCGAGGACGGTGAGCCGCGCGCCGGGCCCCCCTCCCCACGGACTGGCCGGGGTCGCCCCGAGGGTCTGGGTCCGAGCGTCACCCCGAGGTGGCGGGACACGCCCGGCCCCCCCACCCTGGGAGGAGCCCTGGGGGACTGTGACCGGATTTCACTTTCAGTTTTAGATTCAATCCCTGCGGGGCTGGCGGGGCGGGCTGACCTCGGGGCGGGCTGATCTCGGGGCGGTCCTCTGGGCAGGGCTCACCTCGGGGCGGGGTCAGGGTCTCACACCTTCCAGAAGATGTTTGGCTGCGAGGTGGGACCCGACGGGCGCCTCTTCCACGGGTACATGCAATACGCCTACGACGGCACCGACTACCTTGCCCTGAACGAGGACCTGACCTCCTGGATGGCAGCCGACAAGGCGGCGGCTCAGACAAAGCGCAGGTTGGAGGCGGCGGGTGCGGCAGAGGATTGGAGGAGCTACCTGGAGGGCCGGTGTGTCAACTGGCTCCACCTTTACCTGCACAATGGGAAGGAGACCCTGCAGCGCGCAGGTACCAGGGGCCCTGGGGCCGCCCCCTCTCTCTGGGGCCGGGGCTCCTACAAGGAGAGAGGACAGGGGGTCAGTGTCAGACACCCCTCCTTGGGTCAGGGAGGGGGTTCCCAGGATGTCCAGGTCAGGTTCCAGAGGGACTGACCCCTCCTCTCAGGGACAATTAGGGGTGAAGTCTCTCCTGGGGTGCAGGGAGACCCCCTGCAATAACCCATCAGCGGTTCCCAGGGGCCCTGCAGGGGCTCCGGGGCACACGGGGCCCTTTCTCTCAGGCCTTGTGCGCTGCCCCACACCCCCTGTGTCTGAGGCCTCACTCCAGCTTTTTCTGAGTCATGTGGCCTCCACCCAGGTCAGGACCAAAAATCCCATTTCACTCCTCAAAGACCTGCTTTCTACCCTGGGCTGTGTCACTCTGAATCTAGAACTTTCTAAAAGCTAGGAGGTCCTTCTAGGTGCCTCTATCCAGGCTGCTTGTGTGTGCTGTGTGCTCCCTCCCCACCCAGGTGTCTGTCCACTCTCAGGATGGTCACATGGGTGCTGCTGGAGTGTCCCATGGAGGATGCAAAGTTCCTGCATTTTCTCCCCTCCCCTCAGAGCCTCCAAAGGCACATGTGGCCCGCCACCCCGTCTCTGCCAGTGAGGTCACCCTGAGGTGCTGGGCGCTGGGCTTCTACCCTGCGGACATCAGCCTGACCTGGGAGCGTGATGGGGAGGACCAGACCCAGGACGTGGAGATGGTGGAGACCAGGCCTGCGGGGGACGGCACCTTCCAGAAGTGGGCGGCCGTGGGGGTGCCCCCTGGAGAGGAGCACAGATACACGTGCCATGTGCAGCACGAGGGGCTGCCTGAGCCCCTGACCCTGAGATGGGGTGAGGAGGGCCGTGGGCACAGAGCCTCTTCTCAGGGCAGCGGGGCCCTGGGGGACCTCAGTGGGGTTGGGGCTGAGGCCTGGGGTCAGGCCCTCACACTCCCTTCCCTTCTCCTCCCAGAGCCACCTTCTCACACCTCCTTCATCATCCTGGGCATCGCTGGAGGCCTGGTTCTGCTGGGAGCTGTGGCTGGAATTGTCAGGTGGGGGAGGAGTCACTTCGGTGGGCAGGGGTGGGTTCTGAGTGTCTGTCCCACTGGGGGTTCAAGCCCAGGTAGACGTGTGTCCGCCTCATTCACAGAAGCACCATCCCCGTGCGTGTGGGGCTCTGTGCTCACACTGACTCTGTAGTGAGGCCCGTGGGAAATGAGGGGCCCACTTCTCACCTAATGAGGCTGGTGGTGGGGACCCCGTTCCCAGCAGCCCCAGGTCAGAGGGCAGGTCCCTGCTGAGTACAGCCTTCCAGGAGGGCGGTAGGTCCGGTCCCCACACATGCACTTCCCTCAGGTGTCCTGATCCTGCCCTGGATCTGTACACATGGTTCTGGAAACTTCTCTGGGCACAGGACTAGGGCTTTCTTTAGGACCTCATGGCCCTGCCTCCTCCCTGGTCTCTCACGGGGTGTTTTCTTCCTACAGGTGGAAAAGGAGGGAGCTACGCTCAGGCTGCCAGTGAGTATGGAGGGGTGACCCCTGAGACCCTGTGAGTGTACAGATGGGAACCATGGGGGCCCCACCCCTATTGTTCCTCCTTATTCTCCTGCCCTGGGCTCTGCGCCCGTCATGGTGTATTCTCCCCACCCCCGCCACCCAGCAGTGACAGCACCCAGGGCTTTGATGTGTCTCTCTCGGCTTCTAAAGGGGAGACCTGCCGTGGAGAAGGGTGGGCAGAAGGGGACTGGGTGGTGGGGAGTCCGTGGGACACTGTGAACAGGAACTGGGCTTTGAGAATGTCACCATTTACAGTGACTGCCTTGAATCTGCTCATGATGATTGTCCTCCACAGCGTAAGACGGCTGCCATGTGGGGACTGAGTGATGGAAGGTGTGTTCCTGTTCCCACTTCCTGACTCAAGAACATCTGATTGGGTGGCTGGCCTGTAGGAAGACACCCATTGTCTTCAGTATCAGGGAAGTGTGAGCAAGGAGCCAGGAACGCTGGTGAACCTTGAGCCCTGTCAAGGACCAGAGCTATGCACTGATTGTTTAGTCCACACAATGGTGGTTTAAGCGATTTCCTGACCAAATAGTCTCTGAGTAAATCTAATATTTACTCACCTCTAAGATAGTCTGTCTGTTACCGGAATTGCCTCCCTGACTAAGTGCTGTTTGTGTATCCCAAGGTGAATCCAAGGTTGGCATGGCCTGGGCACCAGGGGCGGTCCTTACCCCTGTGTTGGGCTTCCCGCCCGGCCCCCAGTACTTCCCAAATATTATTTCTTGTCTCGTCTCTGACCTTTGTGTGCGGACCTCCTCCAGGTTCCAAAGCCTGAACCACTCAGGATGTGGCTTGCACATCTGGTGCCACAACGAGGGACATTTGGAGAAGAGTTAGCCTAAAACAGAAAAACAAAGCTTCATCGGCAAGGCAGGGAAGATTTCACCGGATAGGTGGGGAAATCCACCACGTGCAAAAACTCACAGCCAGCTGCAGAAGTTGCTATTTGTAACTAGGGAGGAACATCTTTTTTTTTTTTTTAGCCAGGTTAGAGGGGCAGAATTCTGTTCAAAAGTAAGAAACTTTATTGTAGACTCTTGGTTTGCATGCTTAAGAATAAAGAAATTAGTGTTAGGAGGTATTCTCTTATAGTTTTTGCATGATATTATAGAACATAACCCTTGGTTTGCTGAAGAAGGTACATTAGATCTTTTTTTTTTTTTTTTGGTCAAAATTCATTTTACTAATAGAAAATAAACACTTATTCCACTTTCAATTGTTATACTTGAAGTCGCTAATTTAAAATAATCACCTAATCCTACTTTGACTAAAACAACGAAAACTGTGACTTTAAAAAAAGTATTCAGCACCTTTTTCTCACAGGCCCTTCAGAATTAGTTCTTAAAGTTTCTGGAACTTTCCTATCTGTAAAGAACAGGAATTGCAGAGCTACATGAGGAAGCCTCTCTGGGACAACCAGTGAGAAGTAAGCACTCATAACAAAAGGAATTCGTGTGCCCTCAGCGTGGGAACTGGGACTGCACAGCGCTCCCCTCCCCTCCACGTTAGCTCAGGAGGGATGTGCTTCGAAGCAATGAGGTATGATGAAGCAGACTGTTATTTGCTGTTAGAACTGGGTCTTTCCAGCTAATAACAGTAAATCTCTGGCATAGATGTGGTGGTCTTTAATGCCCTGTGACTTTTAGGAAATTTTTTAAAGTTTGGATTTAGTTTAATTTATTCAGAAGTCAAATATGTTTAGTAAGGTTCACTACTCTGCCAGAGTGAGTGTCTGCTGGTATAATACCTTTCTACAATAGATACAACAAGTGTCAGTAAGTCACAGTCTTAAAGTACACTTAGAATACTGCATTATGGAAAGCTGCAATATTTAAAGCAAAATCTATTATTATTATTATTATTAATATACATATTTTATTGATTTTTTACAGAGGGACAGAGAGTTAGAAACATCAATGAAGAGAGAGTCATCGATCAGCTGCCTCCTGTATACCACCTACCTGGGATGTGTCCGCAACCAAGGCACATGCCTCTGATCGGAATCGAACCCGAGACCCTTCAGTCTGCAGGCCGACGCTCTATCCACTGAGCCAAACCGGTTTCGGCAGAAAGCAACATCTATTTTAACAAAACGTCTACAACTAGATGCAGCTGATGAAACTAAGCCAAAGTTATGACAGGGGAGACTCACTCTCTCCTGAAGCTGCTTAGAAAACCAAAGAGCAGTGCCCTTAAAGCCATTCAAGGAGGTTAAGCAGCCATCCTCTCCTCATTCGGTACAAGATTCCAGTTGGGGCTGGGCCAGAAATTATACTTCTAAGTATTTCAGAAAAGTCCACAGAAATGTTAAAAGTCTGTCTCTCTGCATCCATCAGACTTTCCTAATAACACAAAGGCAAGTCCATCCACTTGATCAGATGTCAAAGGAATGGGAGGTGGACTATCAGGTCACCTTTAGTCAGAGCCTCAACTGGCTTTTTCCTATATGCTGCTCACCAGTGTGAGTCAGGTGGACCTTTGTGAGAAGTGTTTGGTGGCCAGGACCTCTTTGGGGCATTTCTTTCTAAATGGAATACACAATAGATAAAGGAGTAGGGGAGGTAATACAGGGAAGCTACTCTTTCCAGCTCAGAAGGAGTTGATGAAGCCCATATATGCATTCAAGAAGCCCATGGGGTCCTCTAGCTGTGGGTAGTGGCTAATGTGGTCTTCCAGAATTGACGCTGTGGACCGCGGCAGTATTTTTCTATACAGCTCCAAAAACTCTGGATAGGGAGTCACCGGATCAAAAGGTCCGTAGATAAAATGAATTGGAATACCGTATTTCCCTGAAAATAAGACATCCCCTGAAAATAAGACCTTTTGGGAGTGCATCTTTGGGAGCAAAACTTAATATAAGACACTGTCTTATTTTCGGGGAAATAGGGTAGTTACAGTGGCCAGAGCTCCCACCCAGCGTCTTCTAAACTTTTTCCTCTGATGGATGTACCGTAAGAGACTGTCCATAACTAAGTTCCCATCATTGTTGCGTATTGCTGCCCACATGTCCCACAGCTCATTCTCTGAGGGCCGGATGTATGGCCCAAAGACGGGGCAAGACCTCGAGAGAATAAAAAGAAGTTCAGCATTCGTGTGAGGATGGGCGACAGCAGGCCTCTGTCTTTGAGAATCTGTTGGAGGAGGAGAGGGTGGTGTATCTCGGGGAATATACCTCCATTTAACAGATAGAGACTTTATATATATATATATATATATATATATATATATATATATATATATATATAATTTATTGATTTTTTACAGAGAGGAAGAGAGAGGGATAGAGAGTTAGAAACATCGATGAGAGAGAATCATCCATCAGTTGCCTCTTGCACACCCTCTACTGGGGATGAACCCACAACCAAGGTACATGTTCTTGACCGGAATCGAACCCAGGACCTTTCAGTCCGCAGGCCGACGCTCTCTCCACTGAGCCACACCGGTTTTGGCAACAGAGACTCTTTCTGGAAAGCCGACCAGAGCGATTCTGCTTGAAGCTATAGAGCAGCTCCTGAGCCACCATGTCTCCATAATCGTGAGACAGGAGGTAGACCCTGCGGTTCTGAAGCCCCGGATGATGCAAAAGCGCCTCCACGATGCTGGCCTGCTCAGAGATGGAGCAGGGACGTGGTCTCGGTTTGTCGCTAAAGCCAAAGCCTAGGAAATGGAGGGCAATCACTTGACGAAACCTGAGTGTGAGGCCTTCCCAAATCTTGTACCAATCATAGCGGGAGGTCGGGAAGCCGTGTAAAAGCACGACTAACTCCGGACTTCCAACCACGCCCAGAGAGTCTTGATAGAAGATAGGCTGTCCCTTGTAGGTGAAAAATTTGCCCGACAACTTCCATGAGTGAGGAGCAGGGGAAAACTTGGGGGGCGGGATGTATAGGTAGGTCAGCAGCCCCACCTGCACCCACCACACCGAGCCAGTGTCTTATCCCATGCCATGGGGCACATCGAGCCAGAGCACGGGCGCCGAAGCCCGCGAGGGCAGCGCCAACCGCGGCAAGCAGCGGACCGCCGCCCGGGCGCGCTGCGGCAATGCGCGAGGTGCGACTGCCTGCCGCAGAGTAGGCGCCAGGATGAGCTGGTTGCTGTGGCCGGTACATTAGACCTTGAGTGTTGGGAAAGAGTGGGTCAAAACTTGGAAAAAGCTCGCCAGCAAGAGACATTTTCATTCAGCCATTGACTTATGAAAATGCCGATGCTGATTGTGAGAAATGCCTGACGCCCCTGAGGAAAAATAGCACCATCACAGAAATAATTCAAGCTTGTCAGAAGGTGTGAATGCTGTCTCATTCTCCGGGTGTCCCCGTCTGACACAGGGCGCCTGTTCCCGTCAGTGTCCCGCAGGCCCAGGGTCCTGCACACAGGAGCCGGCGGGGAGATGGGTTTCAGGCTCCTGCTGCTCCGCCTCCTTCTCCGGCCTCATGTTCTTTCCCTGAACTTCAGGGGGAACCCGGTTCTGGAATCATCACAGAGGAGGGCCCCCATTCCTCCTCTGAGATCAGGTCCCGCTGGGACTGTGCTCTGCCCACTGTCCTCTCTCCAGCCTCCAGTGGCCCCCAGGATATGGGACGGGGGGGGGGGTAGCTGCAGGTTTAGGGGCGCAGCGCTGTGGGTAGTGCAGGTGCAGTGACGGCCCTGGGGGCACCCTGAGCTGCAGCCGCCCCAGGACAGCTGAGCTGGGACCACAGCCAGGAGGTCACTGTGTCCAGCACAGGGAGGGGCTCCCCCTGCAGGAGCCGCTGCTGATTGAGTGACAGATGTGAGCGCGGGGTTGCCTCTGGGGCCTCACTGAGGGGAAATGGGAGACCCGCTGGCCCGTGGGCGGGTGTGTGGGCACAGGGTGTGTAAGAGCCAGGGAACAGGGAGGGGGAGGGGGAAGAAGGAAGGGTTCTGGGGACACTATTGGAAGGGACCCAGGTGTGGCTGTGGGACAGGGCAGTTGGGTGCTTGATGGGTGGTCTGGGGATCGCTGGGAGGTGACCTTGAGGAGAGGAGGCCCTGTGCAGGGAGGTCTGCCAGGCGGGAACCTGCAGTGCGCATGCCCTGGGGCAGGAGGGGGCTGGTCTCTGGGAGGAGCCAGGAGGCTGGTGTGGGCGGAGCAGAGAGATGGAGCTGAGAGGAGCGTGGGGGCCACGTGGGCGGAGGGGGTGGAGGGGCGGGCTATGCTGAGGGAGGCGGAGTCCCAGGACAGTTTGGAGCAGGAGAAGGACTTGGGGTGACGCCTCCTTGAAGGGGTGGCTGTGGCTGCTGTGCTGAGGGCAGACCTGGGGCGAGGGAGGCAGCGGGGGAGCGGGAGGGCCTGCCGGGTGCAGGGGAGATCCCTCCGCGGGGTGGGCTGTGGGAATGGTGGGCCAGGTGGGATTCTGGAACCTTCAGAGGAGGACTTGACAGCACTCCTCATGGGTCCATCCGGGGTCTGGGAGAGAGCGGGCACCGTCATCAGGAATGTCATTGGGTGGAAGGAGGAGAGCGTTGCCCTCAGCGGAGATGGGGAGCTCAGGGAGCAGCATATATGGGGTGTGGGGAGGGTGTGTGGGGCGCATCACAGACGTTAGGTGTAAGAGATGTTGGGGGGAGCTGTCTGCTGGCAACAAGGGGGCACGGAATCGGCAGGTGGATCTGAGCTGGAGGACGGAGGGGTGTCGCTGGAGAAACAGCTTTGGGCGGCAACGCACAGAAAGGCCATCTCGGGCCTTAAACACGGACACAGCCCCCAGGGAGCGAGGCTGCAGGAGACAAGGGGGAGGGGCCGAGCAGGACCCTGAGCTGAGGGCCCCCAACCCACCCACACCCGCGCCCCCTCTGCAGTCAGGTGTGTTCCTTCCTGAAATCCTGCAGGCGATGCCCTTGTCTCTGTCTCCCACGGAGGCTGGGGCTCTCCTCTCTTTGTGCTCCCTGTAGTGTGAGGGTGAGAGTGGCTGTGTGTACACGAGGCAGCAAAGGGAGAGAGAACTCTCTAGAGAGACTATGTCCCTTGGTCCAGTCTCAGAAGCGGTGTGACGGGCGCAACATGCCGGGTCAGACCTTCCCATTGGACATGCTAATCCTCTCAGCCCAGGTCCCACAGAGGAGCCAACCAGGAAGCCAGTCCCAGCTCCTGTCACCGAGGCTTCTGCTCCTCCATGATGTCTGTGTGAGAGCACACACGTGCCCTTCGTTTGGTGATTCTGGGATTTTTAACAAACTGGGACAAATGTTTGTAACACTTTATTGCCGAGAAATAGAATCAATTCCAATGAATAAAGAAAGAGGAGCTATACATATACAATTATTATTAAAATACCTGCACCGCCAGCAGCTAGTTCACTCCTAGCCCTGAGAGCTGGCATGGAGGTCACAGGCACCCTAATTGGTTCAGCCTGCACCCAGGGGCAGCCTGAGACCATGCGCATGCGCAGAGGCCACCCCAGGGAACAGAGCCAAGGCCACCTCCCCCAGGCGGATGCTCAGAGGGGCGCTGACTCTGCCCAAGAGCAACTCACGGGCAACACGCATGGACAGGCGCTTCTCCCGCCCGCGTGGGCGCGCAACCCGGCCTCCTCCGGTGCTGCGGTGGTCTCGGCAGGGCTTGGCGGCGACGGACTCCCTCGCAGATCCATTAACTGGAAGAGATCCACCTCGCTCTCGCCCACAAAGTCATACCAGGGCCTGGGGGAGGAGGAAGGCTCCTGCAAGGGGAGAAAGACGGAGAGCAGCTCTGCGTCATCAGGGTCTGGAGAGCGATTCCCGGCGTCAGGACCCTGAGGCGAGACCGTGGCCTCAGATGGGTCTGGACATGATTCTGGATCTGGGTCTGAAACTGGACCTGCACCTGGATCTGTAGCTGGAGCTGGAGCTGGAGCGAGTGCAGCAGAGAAGGTGTCCTGGACGCGGGGAGCACGGACCTTGCCCGCCTGGCTGTGGCTGGAAGCGCTGGGATCTGCTGGGAAGACTGAACACGGGCTGTGCGGACGGAGGCTGCAGAACCCTGGGCCCTCCTGGTGCAGGGCGGCCGGAGGGTGCGCAGGGCCAGCTGGAGGCTCAGGGACGGTGGAGAGCACAGGGCCCGATGGGAACGCTGGCTTCTCAGGGCTGGCAGGGAGGAGCACAGGGCCCCCCTGGAACGCAGGGCTTGCAGGCAGGGGCGCAGGGGCAGCTGCGCAGACACCCCTGCCCTGGAGCTCAGCGGGGGCTCCGGGGCCTTGCTGCCCGCGCAGTCTCTGCAGCCTGCGCTCTTTGGCCCTGCGGTTCTTGAGCCACACCTAGGGAGAGAGGGAACGGGAAGGGAGCAAGTGTGAGAGGGGAGAAGCTCTGTGTGCACACACCTGCGCCCAGGGGTGAGGAGGCTCAGGGCAGAAGGGCCGGCCTTACCGTCTCCCTCCGCCCCCAGATGCGACAACGGGCCCCGTGTTGGCGTGGGCTCCTCCGGGGAAGGCGCAGAGAGCAGGAGGAGCAGGGCTTGGGCACCCAGGAACCAGGAAGGGGTCTGCGTGAGAGGGTCCCCGTGTTCC